AACCAGACGTGGCTTTAAGGGTAAGGGAAATAAATGGACTATCTATCTCACAAAAAGTCCTGTGAGGGACAGTTCCAAAGTTGATTATTGCTGACATGATGAAGGGCGAGCCAGCTATAGCAACTCTTAGAATCATATCTTCATTTAATAACATTCAACACTCTTGTGTCGTGGTTTCTTTAACCCTCTGATTTAAAAAAATTACTTTTTAAGGAAACACAATAAGATGGACTCTTTTGGTGTACAGTTCTATAAGCTTTAATACATGTAAACACACCGCCATAATCAATATACAGAAGGGTTTTCTCACCCTCCCAGAGCCCCTCATAATCTTTTAGTGCACCTTCTCTTTATTCCTAACTGCCAGAAACCACCAATCTGCCTTCTGTTGTTATAAATTTGTCTTTTAAAAAATGCCATCTAATGAGTGGATAAAAGCATTGCTGTATTTGTATATAATGGAATATTCCTCGGTCATTGAATTGAATCTTACTCTCTGCAACATCATGGATGGACCTGGAGACTACCATGCTAAGTGAGGTAAGCCAGTTAGAGAAAGACAAATACCATATGATCTCACTCCTATGTGGAATTCAAAGAGCAAAAGAAACAAAATAGAAACAGACTCGCTTTTCGTAGATTGGGTTGGTTGGCTCTGGTTACAGAAAAGCGTGAGTGTGCATTCAGCTCCTCCTCTGCCCTGCCCTGAAGCATCCAATTCTAGGGAACCTTCACCAGTGCCTGAGGTTTATGAGCCTGACGAAAACTCTGCATCCTTGCCAATGTCATCTGCTGAGACACTTCACACACAGACGGTCTCTCCTCTTCCTTCCTCCACAGACCTGCTGATTCCAAACAGCCCTGATTCTTCCACCAGTCCCAACATAATACTGCCCACTTCTATAGAGGACAGTGTAGCGAAGGAGGAAAAGGGCCAGGTCAAGTAACAGAAGGTCAGAACCGTCTTCTCACAGACCCAGCTCTGTGTACTCAATGAGAGATTTCAGAGACAAAGTATCTTAGTCTCCAGCAGATGCAAGAACTTTCTAACGTCCTGAACCTTAGCTACACACAGATTTAAGACCTGGTTCCAGAACCAGAGAATAAAACATAGAAGGTGGCAGAAGTACAACTGGCCAAAGAGTAGCAACCGTTTAACTCAGATGAGCTCAGCAACTACAGAGTACCTGGGCTTCTCTTCCTATCGTCACCAGGGATGTCTGGTGAGTGCTTCTGGAAACCTTTCAGTGTGGAGCAACCAGACCTGCAGTAACCTCTCTTGCAGCAACCATTCCTGGAACAGCCCATCTTGGAACTACCATTCCTGGAATAGTCAGACTTGGTGCCCTCAGGCCTGGAACAACCAGGCCTGGACCAATCAGTTCTATAGTTATGGAAAGGGGTCCCTGCAGCCCCAGATCCAGTTCCAGCAAACTCCTCCCATCAGTGATTTAGAGGTCACCTTGGAAGCTGCTGGGGAAAGCTATGATGCAGTATTGCAAACCCCTATGTATTATGGCATCCAGTAAACCACGGATTTATTCCAAGATTACTCCATGAATATGCAGCCAGACTCCACAAACATCTAGCCATGAACATTCAGTGTGATGACAGGTATATTCAGTCTCCATCTGGGCACTGGCTGTATCTCTCCTAGGATTTTTCACTGTATCTCTGCCTCAATATGCTGCTTCTCATTATGCCCATTATGTCGACTTGGAGCGGTGGGGGTGAGGTATGCTGAGTCTCATCAGAGATTTCCACAGCCTTGCTGCTATAGATGTATAAGATGTCTCTGGCTATAGATTATTAAATACAATACTATTTTGAATTGCTCTAGAGTATAGGATCTCAAACTCAAGAATAGAAAATAAAAATACAAAGATGTGTGATAAAAGATTATTTGTGTTTTCTGGGATCGAGAGGCCTGTTACAAACCTCAGTTCAGGTGAATGTGGTTAAGCTACAATATATTTAACTGATTTCCTCTGCCCCTTTGGCGGTTTAACTACAAACCCCAATTTATTGCTCAAGTGTTTGTGATAGATGTTTTGTATTTTGCTGTATTATCGTATTACCAGTTTGGCTGGTTGGTTTATAAGTTTAAATACAAATAAATCAAACGTCTATTTTCCCGTTAAAAAAAAAGAAACAGACTCATACGTACAGAGAACAGACTGATGGTTGCCAGAGTGGAGGGGATTGAGGGGACTGGGTGAAACAGGTGAAGGGATTGAGAAGTATAGAGCGGCAGTTACAGAGTAGTCACTGGGATGTAAAGCACAGCGGGGAGTATAGTCAATAATATTGTAATAACTATGTATGGTGCCAGGTGGGTACTGGAAATATCAGGGGTAACAATTTGTAAAGTATATGATTGTCTAACCACTATGCTATATACCTTAAACTAATACAAAATAATATTGAATGTAAACTGTAATTTAAAAAAGAATGTTACCTAACAGAATCAGTCTAAAATTTTGACTTACTTCTTTCACTCAGCATAATACATTTCAGATCCAGTAATTTTTTTATGTATATTAATGGCTCTTTCTTGCTCATTGCATAGTAGTATTCCATTGTATGGATTTAGCACTGTTTGCTCACTCATTTGCCAACTGAAACACACTTGGGTTGTTTCTTGTTCTCGGCAATTATGAATAGAACCCCTAGCAGAACTTGAGAATAGGTTTTTGCATGAACAGAAGTTTCATTTTTCTATAGTTGTGCATCTCAACCAGGGACTATTTTGCCCCCAAAGGGTATTTGGCAATGTCTGGAAACATTTTGTCTCAACTTGGGCTCTGGGGGCAGCACTACTGCCATCTACTGGATGCGTCCACTAGGGATGCCGCTAAACATCCTACAATGCATAGGACGGCCCCTTGTAACCAGGAATTAGCTGGCCCGAAATGTCAATAGTGGCAAGGCTGAGAAACCTTGATCTGGTGTAAATGCCTAGGCGTGTGATCACTGGGTCATATGGCAAGTGTATGTATACAAGAACTGACCAAACTTTTCTCCACATTGGCTATGCCATTGTAGATTGCCACCTGTACTATAGGAGATTTCCAGTTGCTCCATATCTTTGCCAGTAAACTTGGATGGTTTAAATAGGTATATAGTGGGTTATTTCACTTGTGCCACTTTTTAAGAGTGAGGAAACAGCCCCATCTGGTGTGACTCAGTGGATTGAGTGCCAGCCTGTGAACCAGAAGGTCACTGGTTCAATTCCCAGTCAGAGCATGTTTCTGGGTTGTGGGCCAGGTCTCCAGCAGGAGACACATGAGAGGCAACCACACACTGATGTTTCTCTCCCACTCTTTTTCACTCCCTTCCTTTCTCTCTAAAGATAATGAAATTATTTTTAAAAAAGAGGAAACCTTTCCAGAAGCCCCAAGGACAATCTACCTCATCTCATTGTTTAGAACTGCATCACACACCTCTTCCTAAATTGTGGCGGACTCTGTCCAGCAGAGTCCGCCTGTTGTGGCTGACTGATGGCAAGAATGAATGCACAGGTGACAACAATCCTGTGGAGAAAAAGGGAACAGACACGACTACTCTCTCAAGGGGAGAGGGCCTATGGATGCCTTGGCCACTCCCCCAAGAGGGGAGCGCCCGGACCCTTGCCTAGACAGGCTTTTATTATTTTCTTGGGGTCTTACATCAGAGAAAGATTTATTATCTATCACATAGAATATTATTGTCTACATTCTAGGTACAATCAAGGAAATAAAAATAGCATGCAAAGGGGAATGGTGATGAGCTGATTAGCTCTGTCCTTGAGAGAACTCATACAGGCTTTGGAAATTACCTTGAAGATAGACAATACACATTTACTGTTTTAGACCAGGGTGATGGAGTTTTAGCAAGAGCAAGCCATAACAATCTGTATACATTTTCTCAGCCTGATTCCCACGGGAAAACTCGGTTTGAAGGTCTGGCTTCTGCCCACCACTTCACTTCTGTAGGTTTTCTATACAGAGCTGAGTCACATTTGCCAGACTGAAACAAACCCGTCCCCTACACTAAATCAATCACAAGTTATAGAGAATAGAATTATGAGTCATCACTGAGAATACTTGCTGAGACTTCAATATATATGTTCTGTAATTTTGTTAGACCTCCCCATATTTTCTCATGAAACGAACTAACAACAAAAAATATTACTTATAAGAAATCCCATACTTTGACGCTGTTCTTTCTCTGTGAATATGGTAGGTCTCCGGCTCCCAAAAGGAGTTGTCACAGTACCATAAGCAAATCAATTGTAAATCTGCTTTTTCCCTTCTCCTTTCTTCTTCTGGATATTTGTCCAGTAGGGCAGACTTGGAAAGTGGATGTTCTCACGTCAGACTTAGGAAAGGTCAGGGGGGTTGCGACTGATTTAAGAAAAGGATCTGACAAAATGGATTCCTTTTATTATTTTAGGTACATAATAAAGTGCATAAAATAAATGTTCTTTGTAGCATCACACTTCATTGGTTTATTGCAGGGGCGTCAAAATCATTTTCACTGGGGGCCACATCAGCCTCCCGGTTGCCTTCAAAGGGCCGAATGTAATGTTAGGCCTGTATAAATGTGACTACTCCTGAGCAGTTAAGCAACAGCTCGGCGCTGCTGCTGGGTAGAAACAAGGTTGCCAGGCCAGATAAAACAAGGTGGAGGGTGGGATTTGGCCCTTGGGCCTGTGTTTGCCACCTGTGTGGTAGACAATCTATCGAGAGAACAATTACATTCCTTTCTTCGATTCTCATCTTCACGAAATGATACACAAGTAGAGTCTGAAGGAAAACAGATTTCTTCCCTCCCACTCTCAGTGAATAAATGGTGCTCCCTCTAATCCTGCCTCATTGTTAACAGTAAAAAAACAAAACAAAACCCCAGAACACTAAAAAAGGTTGTTTGAAATTGCTGGTAGATGAGTTGGATGATTTAACAAATGAGACACTGACAAAAACATTTTTTTTTTACAATACTATAATTATAAAGTTGAAGGCACATCCTTGGCAGATCAAAATATGATCAATTACATGCTTATGGGAAAACAAACTACTAAATAACTTGACTCTGGTAGATGATTATTGCACAACATCGCCCACTGCTGTTTGGGTAGCAAACAATCAATGTTTAACAATGTTCAGTTAAACATTTCTTGAACCAAAAAACATAAGGTTGAGACGCCTGGTTTTGGCTACAAAAGGCATTTATTATCGATGCCATGACAGAAGCTCTTTTAAATGAAGAACAAGAATTCCTGCTTGTGTGCTTTATCTGGCTACTCATACCAGATAAACTTGCAGAAGGACTACAAACATTTAGTGTAAAAAGAGCTAATCATTTGGCATGAATTTATATATTTTTGTATTTGGTAAAATAACATTCTTAGTGATAGAAAAGTAAGAAACAACCAAAAAATCCAAAGGGAATGATTCCAGGAATGTTTTTATTCTCATTAAAATAACCAGTAACCAGATGCCTCAGCCACAGAAAATAACAACAGAGTAAAATAAATATGAAGAAAAATATTTTTAAAGCAAGATCCACAAGTAATGGAAAAAATTCTCTAAGAACATACATTCTTTATTTTAAGCTGTGTACATGAAAGATATGCACGCTTAAATTTTTGGAAATATCTGTCTACAGTGTTATTTAAGCATTCTGGACAAAAGAATAACTTTTAAAAAGTTACAGCACAATATAAAAGTATTTGTTCACAAGGCATCAAATTTAACACTAAAATGTTGATACTAAACTAGGAAAAATAACATTTCTAGTTTCACAAATGACAACCACACTCCTGTAGACTACAACACTAAGTACTTTAGGTGTGTTTTAATCTTTGAAGTTCAAAAGGCATCTTTGGATATTTAAGATAAAATGTGCCCCATAGTTGAGTCTGAACAAGCACTGAATATCAAAACACCCTGTTCACTTCAGCCTGAGGACATGGTTGCTGAGTGAATACAGAAGAAATGATAAATGAATAACAAATAAAGAACCTCAAATATCAAATTCAAATACACAGTAGTCCCTCAGTACCTTCAGCTTCACTCTCCCCCTATCGGTTATCTACAGTCAATTGTGGTCTGAAAATCTTCAATGAAAAATTCCAAGAAAAAAGACGATTCATAAGTTTTCAATTGTGTGCCATTCTGAGTAACGTGATGAAATCTCGTGCTGTCTCAGTCTGTCCAACCTGAGACCTGAATCATCCCTCTGTCCTGCATCTCCACACTATATCTGCTCCCTGCCCACGAAGTCCCTCAGTAGTCATGTCATTTACCAGATTGACGGTCACGGTATCACAGTGCTTGTGTTCCAGTTGCCCTCATGTTACTTAATAATGGCCCCAAAGTACAAGAGTAGAGATGCTGGCAATTCAGATATGCCCAAGAGAAATGATAAAGTGCTTCGTTTAAGTGAAAAGAACATATGATAGGGAAAAGCATAGTATGTGTAGCGTTTAGTATTGTCCATGGTTTCAGGCATGTATGGTGGTCTGGGAACATGTTCTGCGTGGGTAAAGCAGGACCACTGCCAATTTAGTTTCTTTCTATATGGTAATATGTGTGTGTGTGTTTATATACAGATATAAACACACACACACATAGACACACTTATAAACTTTGTTCTCACTAGTAACTAGTTATTTAACGCTAGTTACAACTAACTGAAAACCATATTTTGGGTCCCCCCCTCCATGTACTGCTTCTCTCTCCCATGAATACGGCTGCTCTGTGAAGCTAACAGGAGTTCAAGATTGCAAACGAGACTTGTGGGAGAGCATTCAAAGATGCTTACAGACATTTAAAGCTGGATACTTTCTAAAGAGCATGTTTTCTGCTCTGGCAGTAAGGGCTGGAACGAGATCCTTAATTTCCCCCACTACAGGCTGCTCCTTCCACTATCCTGTGACTTGGGTCCCTTGGCAGGCAGGGCCAAGAGCACAGCTCAAACATGCCCAGAACAATAAAAGCAGTAACTAGCTATATTCAAGTGCTTCAGAGAGAGGAAAAAAGTAAGAGTGACAGTGAGAGAGAGAGGTGGGCTTCTTTTTTGAAAACTCTAATATATGCCTGTCATATTAAGTGTTTCTTCTAGGTATGCTAGGCCATTGGAATGAAAGGAAGAAAATGTTAAAACTCAAACCAGTAGCATGGAAGGTAGCATAGGCATTGGTCTAAGGAAAGGCCTAGACTACAAACTCATTCACACTTCATTAAAATGGGTTTGCCTTTCTAGATTAATAGCACCTTCATGAAGTTTCAGCTCTCTCTAAAATAGCTGAGATAAAAATGAGATCTTTTCTGAATCTACAAAGACAGCATGGAATAATGTTGTAAACTTCTTTGTGTGTGTGTGTGTGTGTGTGTGTGTGTGTGTGAAAAGATAACAGAGAAAGGAAGTAGGCTGGGAAGACACCCATCTTCTACTCCCACCTGATTGCACTCTGTCCTATCAAAATGATTTTTAATCGTTATTACTGACCTCAAGCAGAGAAAAGAACTAACATTTACTGATTACCAACTGTATGTGCTAGGCACTGTGCTAGCAGTTTTACAAATGGCAGTGGGAACAAAACATTGGAAATTCACTTATGAGTTCTCTTCACTTATGTATTCTACATAAGAAATCCATCTCACAATTAACAAGGGAATTTCAATAGCAAGACAAGTACCAGATCTCTGGCCAGTAGTGTATTATCTCCCAGGCACTTACAGGGGAATTTCTAAATTGATATGGCAATGACAACAAGCCCCTGAATTTGCCAATCACACTAACTAATTAGCAAGTGCAAATGTTTTAAACTAGAGAAAAGTACAGATTTGCCTGAAAGGTATCACAACCTAGGGAAATTCTCATTTCAGTATTATAATTTATTGTATTTTTGGTAAAAAGCAGTTTTGTGTAATAGCATTATTTTAAAGTCATTTTGAGGGCTTACCTAAAACACTAAAAGACAATTAAAATCTATTAAATTATATCTACCAGCTATGGTCTTATTTTTAAAAAAGGGACAGATTTAGTGAGTCCAGGTAATTTTATGACCCGTATATGTTGAACGTGGTTTAAAAAAATCTTTGATCTTTGAAAACAACCGTGGAAGAGGCTCAAAATCTTCAGTTTGGGCATCGATGCTGACAGAACAACTTAGCGCTTGAACTCAGAGAGGAGTGAATCGGAAGCTTCCGCCAAGCTTGGGAGTCACTGCAGGAAGAATCTGCTATGCTTTTTACAAGGGAAAGAGGGGAAGCAGGGCACGCTACCTTTAAGGATGTTCGAACTACAAGATAAAGAAAGGAATAAGATACTGGAAAAATTGTCAGTTATTTTTATCATTGAAAAAACTACCCACACTTAGCTTCCTCAAAGGAAATTACAAAAGAAAACATACTGGGTCATCTACGAAAGCAACTGCAAGGACCTAGGTGCAGGGAGAATAAGGCGGGGGGCGGGGATCAAGCCAGTAATAATTAAGGCACATCTATGTTTAAACAGTTTCTACTGTTTTCTTTCTAAAACTAGATGCTTTATACAACGCTTTGAAAGCCGCAGTTCCCCATCTGGCAGGGATCAGTGCTCAAGAAGCTCCTCGGGATCATACTCTGAAATCTTCAAATATTTAATTCCTGTCTCCTTCAGCTCCCCCCGCCTCAACTAAAACAAATGATCTATCACTTTAGCGGCAGTTTGGCAATCTTCAATGGTAGGACTTGCTGGCTTGCTGTAAAGCTCACTGGCTTACTTTACCTGTTGCTAGGGAAAACAAAACAAGAGATTGCAAATTCACTCTAAATAAAGCTGGCTTCAGAGCGTTGATGCCCTGATAAAGATATTGTTGCCATCTGGAAAAATGCGATGCAAATAAAATCCCTAGTATAAGACCAACACCAAGTCCTTCCTCAATATTTTGCAAGGCGAAGGTGACGGTGGTGAGTGGTGAGTCAGTGCACGTGGACAGGCGCTCGTGGGGCTGCTCCCTGAGGCCTGTTACAACGCGGTGTCGTCTTCTTCCCTGCATTCTCCCACCAGGAGCGAGTGCTTGTCGGGTTCACTGGTAGCAATGCTGGTTAAGGACCGTTTATCCGACCACAGGGAGTTGATGGAGGCTCTGCTGTAATTCACAATGCGGTGCAGCAAACCCAGTTTCGGAGAATTTCTTGAGGTGTCGTCTATTCCGACGTGAACGCTGATTTGTGAAAGGCTCTTCTGTCCCATCGGGCTTCGGGCACGCAGTTCGTAATTCTCATAAGTTGGTTTCCTGTACCTGGACACATGCAAGAGCACGCTGGATTGAAATAACCAAATGTGAACTAGATGCCTGTTACATCCCAAACTGAAAGATTTGCCCGGTACAAAATGTGCAAAGGAGGTCCCTGCTAGGAAAGCAGTTCAAAAGGCATGGAACGTAGTCACATGATCAGTCATCCCGCCTCTCAGAGCCCACGTACTCAATTTTGCCCCACTTGGTCTTTGTGCTTGCAATGTGACAATTGTGTAGCTAACATTTATATTAAGACATTTTGGGCTTATCATTAATCAACATAACAAAATCCATGAAGACGGACTGAGGATGATAAAAGGAGTATAAAATATGAACGTGCGCAAGCCATCATACTTACAGTTTCAGGAAGAGAGAAGAAAGCACTACTGAGACAGATGAAGCGGCCATAGCAGCAGACCCCATCCAGGGCTGCAGAACCAAACCAACGGGCATAAACACTCCTAGGAAACAAGGGTAGGTTAGTTAGGGCAGATACTACTGAGCAGATCACTGATGTGGTTGGTTATCCAGTGCTTATTTACAAATCATTTACTTGCTTGAAATTTAGCTTCCTGTTGCTGGAGATTTATGTGGCTGCTGATTTTTCCACTAGAACAGCGCTTCTGTGAACATTCTTGGGAATGTCTCCCTGGGCACACATCTGAGAATCACCCCAGAGCACACACCTACAGGGGAAGCTGCTGGCTTATAACACGGACACATATTCAGCTTCCGGTGGATATTCCTCACTTGTTCCCCCAGTTGGTTGTACCAGATCACAATACTATCAACAGGAAATGAAAGTTCATGTTCTACAAACTCGTCTACACTTAGTCTTGACAGACATGTTAATATTTTGTTCATATGACATGGATGAGATAGACTTATGGCACTTTAAATTTTTTATGTACTTATCTGTATTTTCTACTTTTTGTACAGTGATCACATATTACTTAGAGATAATGTTTAAAAAAATCACTTGCTCCATGAATTAATGTCTCTGGATTTTGATTGTCCTTTGACTCTTTGTCCTCTTGGCATTGGTGTGTTTATCAACAGCTTTGTGATTGCTCTCATGTCATTTTATGTCTTTCTCTGGCTCCCAAATCAGAGAGAACAAGAAGAAAGTGACGACTATTTCTCTTATGTTATTACTAACTTCTACCAAGCTCCTAAGTACAGGAGATTATCAGATGTGTATTATACCATTCTATAATGGTTTTTCTTGATCATATTTCTTCATTCAGTATCTCTCATCTGGTCCCCAAACTGAAAAAAAAAAAAAAACCCAACCCTGTTGGCTATTATAACACCACACGAAGAGCAGGAATTCTCTGTATGCTGGAATCACAAGCACGTGGCAATACAAAACCTCATGCAAAGGAAAAAAGACAGAAACTACACAGGTTAAAATGCTAAGGGTAGTTGCATTTGGGTAGTGAGATCAATGGTAAATTTGTTCCCTTGAGCAAAGATCATATAAGTAAATAGATATATATGAGTATGATAGTATATGTAGAAAGAAATGAGCTAAGGTAGCAAAATACAATTACTTGATGAATAGGTTAAGGGCATAGAGGTTTTCACTGTATGACTTGTTTCCTTATCTATGTGACTTTGGAATTTTTCAAAACGTAAATTGAGAGGGAAATGTAAAGTAAGATAAAATAAACCTGTCAGAATACTTACACCTTCTAGATTACAATCAACATTGCTGAAAATTAAAATAGTTGATTTTGCCCTGGCTGGTATGACTCAGTGAATTGAATGTAGGCTTATGAACCAAAGAGTTGCTGGTTCGACTCCCAGTTGGGCCATATGCCTGGGTTGCAGGCTGGGTCCCTGACGCGGGGTTTGCAAGAGGCAATCACAGGTTAATGTTTCTCTCTTTCACTTTCTCCCTCCCTTCCCCTCTCTCTAAGAATAAATAAAATCTTTAAAAAAATAAAATTGTTGACTTCCGCCAAGATGGAGGCGTAGGTGGAAGCACTGTACCTCCTCCCACAACCAAGTTTAAAAACAACAAAGTTTTAGCAACAAAAACGCAGCCAAAACCACAGAAAATTGAACTTCACGGAAGTCTGACAACGACGAACCCTTCAGCCAAACCAGCACGAACAGATCAAAACATGGCTCAAGAAGAACTTAGAGCCCCAGAGCCGATAAAACTAAGCGATGAAGAAATAGCCAAACTTTCAGATGCACAGTTCAAAACACTGGGGATCAGGATGCTCACAGAACTGGTTAATTTTAGTCACAAATTAGAGAAACATATGAAGGCTAAACTAATTGAAATGAAGGGAAATGCACAGGAAACCAATAGTAATGGAAAGGAAGCTGGGACTCAAATCAAAGGAGTGGACCAGAAAGAGGAAAAAAATGACCAAACAGAAAAAGATGTAGAAACAACAATTCAAAAAAATGAGGAGAGGCTTAGGAACCTCCAGGACATCTTTAAATGTTCCAACATCAGAATTATAGGGGTGCCACAAGGGGAAGAGGAACAGCCACGAGTGGAAAACTTATTTGAACAAATAATAAAGGAGAATTTCCCCAATCTGGCAAAGGAAATTTTCCTGGACTTCCAGGAAATCCGGGAAGCTCAGAGAGTCCCAAAGAAGTTGGACCCAAGAAGGAACACACCAAGGCACATCATCATTACATTAGCCAAGATTAAAATGAAGGAGAGAATTCTAGAAGCAGCAAGAGATAAGGGGACAGTCACCTACAAAGGAGTGCCCATCAGACTGTCAGCAGATTTCTCAAAAGAGACCTTACAGGCAAGAAGGGGCTGGAAAGAAGTATTCCAAGTCATGAAAACCAAAGACCTACAAACAAGATTGCTCTATCCAGCAAAGTTTTCATTTAGAATAGAAGGACAGATAAAGTGCTTCTCAGATAAGATCAAATTCAAGGAGTTCATCATCACCAAGCCCTTATTATATGAAATGTTAAAGGGACTTATCTAAGAAAAAGAAGTTAAAGAAACATGAACAGTGAAAGGACAGCAAACTCACAGTTATTAACAACCACACCTAAAACAAAAGCAAACTAAGAGGACAGCTAGATCAGGAGCAGAACCATAGAAATGAAGATCACATGGAGGGTTAGCAACAGGGGAGTGGGAGAAGGAGAAGGGGAGAGAAGGTACAGAAAATAAACAGCATAGATGGTAGGTAGAAAATAGATAGGGGGGAAGGCAAGAATAGTAGGGGAGACATAGAATCTAAAGAACTTGAGACACGTGCTCATAAACTAAAGGGGGGGAACGGTGGGGGAGGGGATGTGCAGGGTGGAGGGCAATGAAGGGGGGAATAGAACAACTGTCATAGCATAATCAATAAAATATATTAAAAAATTAAATTGTTGATTTTAATATTATCTCTTAGCACACCAGCAGGCTACATACAAAAAATGAGCTTGAAACTAATAAAAAGACTAAAAGATCCAAAACAATAGGGACAAAGTGATACTTGTTAACAGTCACATACCAGCAGCTATGGGGATTCCAACCAGATTATAAATTAGAGCGAAGACGAAGTTTATCCGAATCCTCTTGACTGTCTTCCTTGATAAATCAATACTTGCTACTACGTCCAGAAGATCATTCTGAGAACAGAAATATTTGTCATATTAGTGAGAGACTATCTTGACTAGTAACTTTTGCATATGCTACTGTGTATATTGGAGGTGACATGTACTTTAGGGTGATATGTGAATTAACTACAAATCTCAGATATTGCCAACAATTTGAGTCAGCTTTGGAAGATGCTGTTCAGGAATTTTTCTCAGGGTTCTGAAAACACATGTAGGGTTGTATGCTGGAAGAGGGATTAAATGCTATTAAAAGAACATCAGTATTCACTGAAGATAATTTTAAGTATGTTCCCAAGTCTTGCTCTTCACTTTAGAAGCTTGTCATTCTCCTTTGCTTTACTGGATTGAGAAAGTCTAGAAGTAAATAGTAAAACTTCTCATACACCCACCATGAATTCTCCCAGACTCCATAGCCAGGAGCAAGGGAATCAGAAGAACAGAATCATCATGCTGGATGTACTTTACGATACTACCCCTGAGCATGGAGAGCAGACTCACACTCTGCAAAGTTCAGGCCACAGCACTTACCCTTATCAAAACCACGTCGGCTGCTTCAATGGCTACATCTGTGCCCGTGCCGATGGCAATTCCAACATTGGCCATGGCAAGAGCAGGGGAGTCATTGATTCCATCTCCTACCATTGCTACCCGTTTCCCCTCCTCTTGAAGTTGCTTCACCTTAGCAACCTTGTGGGAAGGTAGAACTTCAGCAAATACCTTAGTGATGCCGACCTACACCAGGAAAAAAAAAAACTGCAGTCAAGAAAGATTACTGAGATGCTGGGAAGATGGCGACGGAGTAAGACGCAGCTGATGCTAGCTCCTGTACTCATGGGTGAAAATCCTGGCAGATCTATAGAGAAACAGCACAATAAACCATCGGTTGCCCAGCATTTATGAAATTAAAAGACCAGAGATTGTGACCGACGCTGAAACACCAGACAGCGGCAGAGTCAGCTACTGGAGCTGGGTCTCACTCGGCCCCTGTACTGCTGCCAGAGCAACAGGCCTGGGAGCCGAGGAGTCAGGTACAGAAGCCGGACACTCCAAGCTCCTCTGACGGTCCTGGGTGGCAGAGGAGTCAGGAACCGGAGCTGGGACACTCTCGGCCCCTGTGCCAATGCCATAGCTACCAGCCTGGGCAACGGAAGGGGCAGTTGCAGGAGCTGGGACACCGGAGGGCCCTGTGACACCACCATAGAGACGGGCCTGGGCCCTGAGGAGCCAGCTACGGGAGCCGGGACATTCTCAGCCCCAGTGCCGCTGCCATGGCGACGGGACTGGAGGCGGGGAGTCAGGTATGGAAGCCGGGATGCTCCAAACCCCTGTGACAGCAGTGGGCAGCAGAGGAGCCAGCTACGGGAGCCGGGACGTTCCCAGTCCCTGTGCCGCTGCCGTAATAACGGGCCTGGGTGCTTGAGGAGGCGGCTACTAGAGCCCGGACATTCAGCAGTGGTAGGCGACCAATGCAGGGACCAGCGCGAGGACCAGTGTGAGAGTAGGTGGAGACGAAGAACATCAAGAAAATTCAAGGAGTCTGCACCACTGAACTTCACAAGGATCATACCCCAGAAGTTCACACCATAAAACCAGGGTTTCAGAACAGATCAATTTTAGAAGCAGAGACTAACAAGTAGAGTCTCAAACAATGGAAAGACAAAGAAACAATCCCCAAATGAAAGAAAAAGCAGAAATTTCAGAAACAATGTTAGATGAAATAGAGGCTGATCAACTATCAGATAGGGAATTCAAACCACTGGTTATTACGAAGTTCAAAGAGCTCACAGTGAACTACCAGAAACTACAGGGGAACTACAATGATCTCTCTGCAAACTACAGCAACATGAAAAAGGAAATGGAAACTATCACCAAGGGACAAGAGGAAATGAAGAATACAGTTTCCGAATTGAAGAACACAGTAGAAAGTTTCAAAAGTAGGATAGATGAAGCGGAGGATAGGATTAGTGAGTTCGAGGACAAGGTTGAAAGCATCTCACAGAAAGAGCAAGAAAATGAAAAGAGGCTCAGAAAGAATGAAGAGGGATTAAGAGAAATGCAAGACAATATGAAACGTAATAATATCCGAATAATAGGAATACCAGAAGGAGAAGAACAAGAACAAGGGATAGAAAACGTATTTGAATGAGTAATGAGAGAAAATTTCCTTAATTTGATAAGAGAAAAAGTCTCACAAATCCAGGAATCACAGAGAGTCCCAATCAAGAGGAACCCAAGGAGGCCCACTTCAAGACACATCATCATCAAAATGGCAAAGTTCCAAGACAAAGAGAGAATCTTAAAGGCAGCGAGGGAGAAAAAAGAAGTAACATACAAGGGAGACCCAATAAGGTTAGCTACGGACTTCTCAATGGAAAACACTTGAAGCAAGAAGAGAATGGCAAGAAATATTCCAAGTAATGAGAACCAGAGGCCTACAACCAAGGCTATTTTACCCAGCAAGGCTCTCAATCAAGATAGCGGACCAAATAAAGAGCTTCCAAGACAAAAGAAGTCTAAAAGAATATGCCTCCACCAAACCAGCCCTACAAGAAATACTAAAAGGACTGCTTTAAGGAAAGGAAGGAAAAGAGAGAGACAGAGAGGAACACAGGTACAAAAATGGCAATGAATAAGTACCTATCAATAATAACCTTAAACGTAAATGGATTAAATGCTCCAATCAAAAGACACAGAATAGCTGCATGGATAAGAAAGCATGACCCACACATATGCTGCCTACAAGAGACCCATCTCAGGACAAAAGACCATCACAGACTTAAAGTGAAGGGCTGGAAACAAATTTTCCAAAAAAATGGACAAAAAAAGCTGGGGTAGCAATTCTCATATCAGACAAAATAGACTTCAAAAAAAGGGCCATAAAGAGAGACCCAGAAGGTCACTTCATGATACTCAAGGGAAGAATCCACCAACAAGACATTAACATCGTAAATATATATGCGGCCAACATAGGGGCACCCAAATATATCAAGAAAATCTTACAGGACTTCAAGAAAGATATTGACAGCAACACAATTATAGTAGGGGATTTTAACACCCCACTATCAAAAATGGACAGATCTTCCAAACAAATTATCAACAAAGATATTGTGGCATTAAACAACACCCTAGATGAAATGGACTTAACTGATATATATAGAGCCCTTCATCCCAAAGAAGCTAAATACACATTCTTTTCAAATGCACATGGAACATTTTCAAAGATAGACCACATGATAGGACACAAAATGAGCCTCAACAAATTCAAGAATATTGAAATCATACCAAGCATCTTCTCTGACCACAAGGGACTGAAATTGGAAACCAACCCCAAAGAAAAAAACCCAAAGCACCCAAAATCATGGAGACTGAATGGTATGCTATTAAACAATGAATGGGTCAAGAATGAAATTAGGGAAGAAATCAAAATGTTTCTGGAAACAAATAAAAATGATCTCACAACAACCCAAAACTCATGGGACACGCGAAGGCAGTCCTGAGAGGAAAGTTTATTTGGCAATACAGGCCTACCTAAAGAAGATAGAAACATTTCAAACAAACAACCTAACCCTACACCTGCAAGAACTCAAGGAACAACAACAAAGACAGCCCAGAGCAAGCAGAAGGAAGGAAATAACCAAAATTAGAGCAGTATTAAATGACATAGAAACTAAAAGCACAATTTTAAGGATCAATGAATCCAGGAGTTGGTTCTTTGAGAAGATAAACAAAATAGACAAACCTTTAAGTAGGCTCATCAGGAAAAGAAGAGAGAGGACACAAATAAACACAATCAGAAGTGAAAGAGGAGAGATTACAACTGATACCACAGAAACAGAAGGGACTGTAAGAAATTACTATGAAGAACTGTATGCCAAGAAATTTGAAAACCTAGGGGAAATGGACACATTTCTAGAAAAATATAATCTCCCAAAACTCAGTGAAAAAGAAGTAGAACACCTGAATAGACCAATAACAGCAAAAGAAATTAAAGCAGTAATCAAAAAACTCCCATCACACAAAAGCCCTGGACCAGATGGTTTCACAGGAGAATTCTGCAAAGCATTTAAGGAAGAGCTAACCCCTATTCTCCACAGACTATTCCAAAAAATCCAGAAGGATGGAAAACTCCCAAATTCTTTTTATGAAGCCAGCATCATCTTAATTCCAAAACCAGATAGAGACACAACAAAGAAAGAAAGGTTCAGGCCAATATCGCTGATGAACATAGATGCTAAAATCCTCAACAAAATATTGGCAAATGCATCCAACAATATATCAAAAAGATCATACACCATGACCAAGTGGGATTCATCCCAGGGATGCAAGGATGGTTCAATATTTGCAAATCAGTAAATGTAATACATCACACAAACAAAAGCAAAGACAAAAATCCCATGATCATATCAATAGATGCGGAAAAAGCTTTCGATAAGGTACAACACCCATTTATGATAAAAACACTCAGCAAAGTGGGAATACAGGGAGCATTTCTCAATATAATAAAGGCCATATATGAGAGACCTACAGCCAATATCATACTCAATGGGAAAAAACTAAAAGCTTTTCCACTAAGATCAGGAACAAGACAAGGATGTCCACTTTCACCACTTCTATTCAATATAGTATTGGAAGTTTTAGCCACAGTGATCAGGCAAGAAAAGGAAATAAAAGGCATCCAAATAGGAAAGGAGGAAGCAAAACTGTCACTGTTTGCAGATGACATGATAGTGTACATGGAAAATCCTATAGACTCTACCCAAAAACTGCTCAAACTAATTAATGAATTTGGCAAAACAGCTGGTTACAAAGTCAATATCCAGAAATCAAAGGCATTTTTGTATACCAACAGTGAATCAGCAGAAGTAGGAATCAAGGAAAAAAATCCCATTTGATATATCAAAAAGAAAAATAAAATATCTGGGAATAAACCTAACTAAGGAGGTAAAAGACCTGTATGCAGAAAACTACACAGCCCTGAAGAAAGAAATCAAGGAAGACACAAACAAATGGAAACATATACCTTCTTCATGGATTGGAAGAATTAACATCATCAAAATGTCCATACTACCCAAAGCAATATACAGATTCAATGCAATAACCTATTAAAATACCAATGGCATATTTCACAGACATAGAACAAACACTTTGAAAATTTATATGGAACCATAAACGAGCACGAATAGCAGCTGCTCTTTTGAGAAAGAAGAGCAAAGTAGGGGGGATCACAATACCTGATATCAAACTGTATTACAAGGCCACTGTAATCAAAACAGCCTGGTACTGGCATAAAAACAGGCACATAGACCAATGGAACAGAACAGAGAGCCCAGAAATCAACCCAACTCTCTACAGTCAATTAATATTCGACAAAGGGGGCAGTAACATACAATGGAGTAAAGATAGCCTCTTCAGCAAATGGTGTTGGGAGAACTGGACAGCTACGTGCAAAAAAAAATGAAACTTGAGCACAGACTTACACCATACACCAAAATAAATTCAAGGTGGATAAAAGACTTAAATGTAAGTCGTGACACCATTAAAGTCCTAGAGGAGAACATTGGCAAGAAAATCTCAGATATTTCACCCAGCAACTTCTTTACTGATATGTCCCCTAGAGTAAGGAATGTAAAGGAAAGAATAAACAAATGGGATCTCATCAAAATAAAAAGCTTCTGCATGGCTAAAGAAAACAGTATTAAATTAGCAAGACAACCAACTGTATGGGAAAACATATTTGCCAATGATACCTCAGACAAAGGTTTAATCTCCAAAATATACAAAGAACTTACACGACTCCACTCTAAGAAGACACCCAACCCAATTAAAAAATGGGAAAAGGACTTGCATAAACACTTCTCCAAGGAGGACATACAGAACATTCAGAGACACATGAAGAGATGCTCAATATCGTTAGCTATCAGAGAGATGCAAATTAAAACCACAATGAGATACCACTTTACACCAGTCAGGATGGCTGTCATAAACAAAGCAACAAACAACAAATGTTGGAGAGGTTGTGGGGAAAAGGGGTCCTTAGTTCACTGTTGGTGGGATTGCAGACTGGTACAACCATTATGGAAAACAGTATGGAATTTTCTCAGAAAAAAAAAATCGACCTGCCTTTTGACCCAGCAATTCCACTGCTGGGATTATATCCTAAGAATCTTAAAACATCAATATCAAAGAACCTATGCACCACAATGTTCATAGCAGCACAATTTACAATAGCCAAGAGTTGGAAGCAACCTAGGTGCCCATCAGTAAACGAATGGATCAAAAAATTGTAGTACATATACACAATGGAATTCTATGCAGCAGAGAGAAAGAAGGAGCTACTACCTTTTGCAACAACATGGATGGAACTGGAAAGCATTATGCTGAGTGAAATAGGCCAGGCATTGAAGGACAAATACCATATGATCTCACCTTTGACAGGAAGCTAAACAACAAAACAAACAAGCAAGCAGAAAAAAAAAACAACAAAGACACTGAAATAGAGAACAAGGGGATAGTCACCAGAGGGGAGAAGGAAGGGAAGTTAAGTGGAAAAAGGGGGAGGGATTTGGAGGAACAAATAGGAAGGACACAGGGACGAGAACTAAGGGGGGTGGAAATGGGAGGGAGGTGGGGAGCAAGGGGCGGGGGAGGCTGGGATGGGAAAAATAGACATAAAACTGTACTTGAAAAATAACTAAATAAAATTAATTAAAAAAAATAAAAATAAAAATAATTTCATTTAAAAACTATACAAATAACATATGTAAATATATTTAAAATTAAACAATACATACATGGAGTAAAAAAAAAAAAAAAAAGAAAGATTACTGAATACCTGAAACAGAGCTTGGTGTTAATGAGCTATCATTTTCCACCCACCAGATGTCCAAATTTTAAAAGACTGATAATGTCCAGTGATAATGAGGACTGGGAGAGAGGAGCTCCCTTATACACTGTCGGTGAGTGTGTACATTGGTACTGTTTTTTGGAGGGTCGCATCTATCAAAGTATGTATATCACTTGGTTCAGCAATTCCACGTCTAGCTCTACTTTGGACATACAGGTACAAGCACAAAGGTATGGCCAAGGATGCACAATATTATCCTGCTGTAACAATAAAATTTTCAAAACCACTGAAATGCCCATCATTAGAGAAATGGTTAATTAAATTATGATGTATACCACACCATAGAATTCCATGCACCAATATAGAAAAATAATAACTGGATGTTCAGACATGGACGAAGCGCCAAGGCATATATACTGTTATGTAAAAAAGCACAATGCTAAAAGATCTATACAAGAATGATCCAATTTATGTTGAAAATGCCAAAACTATACACTTGTATGTGAACATGTACACATATGAAACAGTGTGGGGGGTAGGACCTGACAGGGAGCTTGGGAAAAGGGTGAATATAAAATTGGGAAAATATAAAATTTTCACTTTATATTCTTTTGTATTTTTTAATGCAAGAATGTGTTATTTAATAGATGAAAAGACTAACATGAGAAAAGTTTTGAAGGAAAGGCAAATAAATGTTGGGCTCAGTAGCAGAAAAATGATATTGGCTTGGCCAAAAAATCTGTTAGTTTTTTCTGTAAGATGGCTCTTAGTAGCACTTAGTTGTCTTTAATATCATTCAAAACAGGTTTGTTAGGTTGTATTGTCAGAGCTGTCATATCAGTGTGCATTAAGAAACTTATCAAAACTGGTGAATTCTTATGTAGCCACTTTAATATGGAAGATGGAAGAAAATAAGCAACGTATCTGGTATATTATGCTTTTTGTTATCCCAAGAAAGGTGAAAACACACCTGAAACACACAAAAAAAGCTCTGTGCAGTGTATGGAGAAGGTGCTACAACTGATCGAATGTGTCAAAAGTGGATCGTGGCCTGGGCTGGTGTAGCTCAGTGGATTGAGCACAGGCTGTAAACCAAAGGGTCACAGGTTTGATTCCCAGTCAGGGCACATGCCTGGGTTGCAGGCCAGGTCCCCAGGAGGGGACACATGAGAGGCAACCACACACTGATGTTTCTCTCCCACTCTTTCTCCTTCCCGTCCCTTCTCCCTAAAAGTAAATTAAAAAGTAAAATTTTTTTTTAAAAAAAGTGGATTGTGAAGTTTCGTGCTGAAGATTTCTCATCGGATGATGCTCCACAGTAGGGTAGACAAGTTGAAGATGATAGCGATCAAATTGAGACATTCATTGAGACCAATCAATGAGGGAGTTTTACAATGAGGGAGAGAGCCAACATACTCCAAATATCCAAATCAGTAAAGTTATTGGTGAAAATGAAACATGTGTCTTTTATTTTACAGAAAAAACCACATGGACATTTTGGCCAGCCCCATATACCAGATGGTGCATTAGGAAGCGGTGTTCAGCATGCACTGGAGGGGAAGTGCATGGAGCTGCTGCTGTATTTTAGGCATGAGAGGATCAGAGCCTGGCTTAGGCTGGCAGCTCTGGTGAAAAAAATATGAGCGACATTTGAAAGGAAGCATCAACAGAAACTGCTGCACAATGTCACTTAAGCATCTCATGAACTAAGCAAATAGATTTTTACTTATTACAGAAGCACATAGAGGCCAAACTCCTGCCTGAAGAGCATGTCGATTCTTTAAAGAACCGCACATGTCTACTTGGGGATAATGCAAAGAATAGATAATCTAAATGTTTTAGCATCTGAAGGAAGGCAAGAAAGGAAATATATATGAAGAATTAGAAGTTGCCACATATCCCACCCCTACAACTATGTAAACCGGTTACCTGAGAAGCAATAGACCTAGCCGTCTTGCTGTTGTCTCCAGTCATGAGGACAACTTCTAAGCCCATAGATTTCAGGATATGGACAGCCAGCTCCGCTTCGGGCTTCACTGTGTCCGCAATCGCTATCAGGCCACACAGCACATCTGATATAGGCACGAGAAAATGGAGTTTGGAATTGAAGAAAGCAGAATAATAGTCTGAGTTGCCATTACACAAAGAAAAAAATTTTGTGAAGTAAGACTGTTCAGGGCTCGGCTTAACTCGAAATATCACCAAACCCACACAGAGTTGATACCACAAACCCTGAAAGAAACCTCCCTATTTGGTCATGAAAATTTCACACAGTAAGGTAGGGATTTTTAATAATGATAGTAATAGGAAAATAAAAGGACAAACCTTAGTGGATACTACAAGACCCCTTTTCTTTCCTTTAAGAAATACCGGCCAACAGCCCAAACACTGTAGTTAATTTCAAGGCAAATGAGCCAAAGAACCTATATGTACAATCCTTGGACATGAACTGAGGGGGTGGAAATGCTGGAGGGTGGGAGGGGTGCAGGGAGGAGGGAGCAAAAGGGGAGAGGAAATTGGGACAACTGTAATAGCATAATCAATAAAACAAATAAAGGCAAATGGAATCGAAAACTAATTTTTTTCTGATAACATTATCAGAAGTCTCTCAAAAATGCACACAAAACAATAACTGACATCACAACACCGAGTCACAGTATACTTCTGCAAAACCTTACCATCAACTGCCACCAAGACAGCAGTCCGACCCTTTCGCTCATGTTCAGTCATGTAGTCATCTACGTCATTATTAATGATGAGACCATTTCTAATCATCCACTCCCGGTTACCAATGAGGACTTTGTACTGCTGAGCGTTAACAGCATCTGAAAATACAGAAGTAACATTTAGTGAGGTCATTTAACATAATAATTATAACAACCCCATGAGGCGCATTCTTCCTGTTTAACCTTGACACTCACTGCATGGTGTATTTGATTAGAATGCAGCCTACAACACTGATTTTGCAATTTTCAAGAGATATACTCTGCTCTTCCATGCCTCTGGGCCTTTGCATATGCTGTTGCCTACACCTGGAACATCCTTCCCCCTCCTCCCCAAATACCCAACTCCATCATGTTCTGCAGGAGCCAGTTCGAATGTTTCTTTTTTGGTGACGTTTTCCATTTGGCTTTTCCCTTTGACCTTTCAAAGCAACTGAATTCAATTAAAAATATTTATTGTGCATCAGTAGCTGAATGTGGTTGAACAAAAACACACAACCACACTGATGTCCCAGTGTAAACATGTGACCATTAAGCTTAAGTGGGCCCTTAGTGCTGTTTGGCAATGCTACTACATTTCCCTGGTCCAGGAGTGTCCAGCCTTTTGGCATCTCTGGGCCACACTGGAAGAAGAGTTGTCTTGGGTCACACATTAAATACACGAACACTAACAAAAACTGATGAGCACAAAAAAGGTCCATGAATAGTTTTCATGATATCCACCACCACAGATAAGCAAAAAACTCTTCATATAATAACCCTAATTATGCAGCAGCCCTTTCAATAATCTTTTAAAATTGTCAAATAGGTCCCAAGTTTGTCATCACTAATATAGAAAATATACATATCCAAGAAATAAAATGTCAGTGATTTTTAATTTTTTTAAAGATTTTATTTATTTTTAGAGAGAGGAAGGGAGTAAAGAGAGGGAGAGAAACATCAATGTGTGGTTGCCACTCAAGCGCCCCCTACTGGGGGGCCTGGCCCACAGCCCAGGCATGTGCCCTGACTGGGAATTGAATGGGTGTTCCTTTGCTTTGCAGGCTAGCACTCAGCCACTGAGCCACACCAGCCAGGGCTGGTTTTTAAAATCTTTTTATTATAAAAGTAAAAGAAAAGAGGGCAACCTAAAACCAGTCAGATGTTTGTCATTGTATTTGAGAAACTAGTACATCCATATCTAGTTTGATAGAAGTACTTGCAATTCTGAGTTCTCAAGGGGTTCTTCAGATATTTTGGTTCTAATTTTACTCTTAATATGTTTCCTCCTTGAAAATAGCTGCTCTCAAATGTAGGTGCTTCCAAGCAGCAATGAATGACATGAATAAAGCGTGATTATGAAGCAAGGGCTACCGTCTCTGGGAAGACAGGACCCATAAAAGTCCAGTAAAGAGACACAACCAAATTTTCCTTTTAAGTTGAACATCCATAATGTTTTAAATTGAAAATCTCATATAATGTTTTAAGTACATTTACGATTTTGTGGTGGACCGCATGCAGCCTGCAGCCTGAGGGGTGCACACCCCTGCCCTCATCCATTCATTCCCCATTCCTTCTAAGATGTCTTCTCCCATCCTCATACCAGAGGATGACTGTGTCCTACTTCAGAAAGACAAGAAAAGGAACTGGAAGGAAACTTCTACAAGCTCTCACTGCCACATCTCCTCAGCTACCTGTGCCCGTGTACACATTAATCTAGCTTCACTTCTCTTATTATAAACTGCCCCACTCCTATTCAAGACCAACTTCTCCACTGGGGCACCAGCTCCCCCTCCTCTGCTTATTCTAGAACATTTAACAACGCACCCCTCTCTCTCCTACATAATCAAATTTTCTGTTTCTACTCTAGATAGTCCTATATTTTTAAAAAACCAAAACCATCTCTTGATCTCACTTACCTCTCTAGCTACTGTCCCCCTTCTCTACTTCTGTGCATATGGCAAAACTTCTCAAACATGTTGAGTCTATTGGCTAGATATCTGCAATTCGTATCTTCTCATTCTCTTGTGAATCCACTCCAACAAAGCTTTTGTTTCTACCACTTCAAAGAATACAGTAAACCAGAGACTTTTACTTTTTTATTTTCACTTATTCATTTTTTTTTTACCAGTGACCTTTACTTTAGTAAGTCTAATGACAAATTATCAGTCCTCATGACACTTGCCCTACTGGAAGTATTCTGCAGTTAATCACTCACTGCTTGTTGAAATACTTTCTTCGCTTGGCTTCTAGAACACCACATTCTTAGCAGTTACCTCCTCACTCATCACTTCTTCGCAGTCTTCTTTTCTGATTCTTCCTCATTTCTGTGACCTCTTCTTAATCCACAGAGCTGCAGAGCTCAATCCTCCGACCTCCTTTCCCCCCTCTATCTGCTCTCACTTCTTGACCATCTTTACCCACACTTTAAATACTTTTTATACCAGTGCTGTCCGATACGACTTTCTTTGCTGATGGAAATGTTCCATAGCTGCTCCATTCAATGCAGTAGGCACTAACGGTGACCCATGATGGGCCCATGGTGACCGAGCACTGAAAACGGGGCTAGTATGGTTGAATGGCTCAATGTTAAATCCAAGTTCACTTGGCTTCATTGAAATTTTAGAAGTCATGTGTAACCAGTGGCTTGTTGGACAGCAAAGACCTATGTATAAGTGGATCTTCCAAATCCACATCTCCAACCCAGTCTGTTTCCTCGAACTCCAGACTTGTGCAGCCAACTGCCTACCTGATGGGCCTATGTATATGACACCTCCACTGGAATTTCTAATAGGCACTCAAACTTTACATGTCAAAAAGGGAACTCCTGATCAGCTTTCCTCTATAGTGCCCGCCCCTCCCCACCCCGCTGTGGTCTTCCCATTTTATTTAGATGAGTAACTCTACTCATCTGTGCGTGGTTGCCTCTTGTGTACCCCCAACTGGGGACCTGGTCCACAACCCAGGCATGTGCCCTGACTGAGAATCGAACCAGAGACCCTTTGGTTCGCAGGCTGGTGCTCAATCCACTGAGCCACACCAGCCAGGGCTCTACCCATCTAAATTGCTTAGGCCACATACCTTGGCATAATTCTTGACTCCTGTTTCACTTATACCCAATACCCAGTCTGTGAAAAAAAATCTGTCAGCCAGCTTTAAGACACATCTCAAAACTGAGCACTTCTTATCTTTACTGTTACCACACTGGTCCAAACAACCATTATCCTTCACCTGGACTATGGCACTAACTTATCTCCCCTCCTCTGCTCTCACCCTTCCCTCAATAGTTTATTTTTACCAGAGTGGCTGAAGTGACAATTTTAAAATGTTAAGTCACATCCCAACACTCCTACACTCCAAACTTTCCAGTGGCTTATATCTCAGGGCAAGAACACAACAAGTGCATTCAATGCGCTTACCCAATCTAGTCCTGCGCTCCCCGCCTCTCTGGTCTTATCCTCATCCCACACATTTCCTGGGCTCCAGCCACACTGTTCTCCTTGATGTTAATGTTAATTCATTCTCCTGGCTCCAGGCTCCAGCACTTACCACTTCAGCGCTTACCACAGCACTCCTGTCTGGGACGCTCTTATCACAGATCCGCACATAACTTTCTCCCTCACCCGCCTCAGATTTTTGCTCAAATACCACCTTCTCAGGATTACCCTGCTTTATCTTCCTGCATCAGACATGCTATATGCATATATTTAAATTTCATAGCTCACTGCCTTGTGTTCTCCCCCACAAACATAAGTTCCATGAGATAAGGACTTTATTCTGCTCACCACTGATTCTTCATTGCCTTGAACAGTGCTTAATAAAAGTGGTCATGTGAACAAAATTTTAAAAATTGCAGGGAGTAGAATCAGACAGGTAAATAAAGGTTTTTCATGCAAAGTGCCTAGTGCAATAACAGAGACCGAGTATGGTTATGATTTAACAGAAGAGCAAGGAGTTCTACCTGCGTATATTGGTCAGTGATGGTGTCACTGAAGAGAGATGTGAGCTGAGTCTTAACTGCCATTGTCATTGTGGCCAAGGACATTGCCCAGAGAAAGCAGCAAATGAAATGATCCAATAAGCATGAAATGACATGATATAAGGAGGAGCTATAAGCAGTTTCATGTCATTTCATGTCATGTCGGAACACAGATGACATGGGAGGGGGAAGGGCAGACAGCAGAAAAAGACAAAATGGGTGGTGCACGGAAGCAGGGGACATACCATGATGAACACATCATGAACTAAGTCCGGAGAGCCTGGACTCCACCCTGCAGAAGACGGAGAGCCACGAAAGCTGGGATCATTAACAGAATTCCTTGAATGAGCCCTGGCTGGTGTGGCTCAGTGTACTGAGTGCCAACCTGCAAACCAAAGGGTGGCCAGTTTGATTCCCAGCCAGAGTATATGCCTGGGATGTGGGCCAGGTCCCCCCTCACAGTAGGGGGTGGGCAAGAGGCAGCCACACATTGATGTTTCTGTCCCTCTCTTTCTCCCTTCCTTCCCCTCTCTCTGAAAAAAATTAATTAATTAAAATCTTTAAAAGAAAAAGAATTCCTTGGATGGGCTTTAGGATATATATAAACCTCTAAGATGGAAATTTTCTGAGGGGTGGGCATAACTATTATCACATTTGTTGGAGGGCTGATGATTTAAAATGGGTTATAAGCCACCACAATAAAATGTATTAGAAAGTAATATCAATCAGATTAGCACATTAGCAAAATCACTGAAGCAAAACTGGGTGGGGAGATGCTGGAACACCTAGGTGGGTGTATCATGTTTTGGGGGAGATGGATACACCAACAAAAAAAAACCTCAAGAAACAGGCCTTGTCCTAGAGATACGGACTGTGGAGTGGGAGTGGAAGCCCACACACGACATAGTAGCCAGTATGCATGCATTAGATTGGACGGAGAGTACATGTAAAATGAGAAAAAGACAAAGGACAAAACCCTGACAGCAAGACAAAAGAGCAATTAGAAGAGCATTAGAAAGAACAGCCAGGTAAGTGAGAGGAGAATCTAGAGAAAGCAGGGTCACGGGATAAAGGGAGGAAAGAGATTTAGGAAGGAAGAAATGGCCATCACTGTCACATGTTTCAACAGTATGGATGGGGCAGAATCCAGAGTGTGCAGTGAGGTGAATTCAGTGAGCCTAGGCTACTGTTTCTAGAAGCTTGGATATAAAGGGGAAAATAGGATGAAATGTAGATGGAAATACAGTGATTTTGATGGAAGATATGTTTATATGTTTAGGAGAAGGAGCCACTAGAGAAAGAGAATCGAGAAATGGAGCAGGGGGACATCAAAGAGAGGGAGGTCCCTGCAGAATCAAGAGTGGGTGGGATCCTGAGCAACAATGAGGGGATTCTTTAGACAAGATGGGGGATAAATCTTCCCCTGAAAAAGGAATAAATGTGGGCCAAAAATGGAAAGAGCAAGTGTGTTGGAGCCTTAATTTCCTATGTGAAAATAAGTCAGATAATTTGCTTAACAAACTAGGGGTAAGGGCCACAGGGCCCTCGTGTGAGGGATATAAGAGGTTTGGAGGAGCTGCGGTGAGAAATAAAATAAAGAGAACTGAAATAAGATGGAAGATCAGCTAAGGTTAGACTTCATTCTTCATTACCCTATAGTGGAATCAAGGAGCACAGCAGGAAAATGTTTTCCAGGAACTTGAGCGAAGTGATAAGAGGCCTATGATGAAATTGATTGGTGAGGATGAAACCGTAAGGCCAAGTTTTGTGTGTCTTACACAACAGCTCAGGATTAGCAAGTTAGACATCGGTTAATAACTGTTCCATAATTGGTCTACAAAAAAAAATCAGCTTACTTGAGAGCGGGGCATCAATAATCATGGAAGATGAAGTTGATAACTGTTCATCACTTGCATCAATCTGCACCAGGGATGCATTTTTCACATTGTTTTCCTCTATCTTCCAGTTATTCTTTTGTAGCAAGCCTTCGATATTGGTGACTTTACAGCTAATACCACAGCCTGGCACAACCTGGAAGTCTATGCAGGTACCCAAGGTTTCGGTGGCCAGCTCCTAACAAAGAGAAACAGAAGAATTTCTCTGCTGCACTAATAATCCAAGGTCATCATTAGCAAGATCAAAGATTACTTCTGGTTAGCTATAAATATTTTAGAATAAAACAATCACTTAGCACTGCATATTTGATTGCACATTTTAATAAGCATGAAGGATCAGAGTGCTGAATATAATGTTCAAAGTTACAGGCGAACCCTTGGAATCCTTTGTTTTGATCCCACTCTCTAAAATGTACACCAGGCTCAGGGAAAGAAAACATGGAAGTTGATCAATATTTTCTGCCCTTTCCAACAGAGAATTACAAGTGAAAGATTTAATTCTACTGTCATGTCAGAATTCCTCTCTAAAACAATTCTGTGCCCTCAGTAAGCCAGGAAATTCTGGCTCTTTGTATCTTCACCCTCTCGGTTGTTCTACATGGGTGTAAAGAAACCCAGTCAGTTATAGTTAATAGGTAAAAAGGGAAAAAAAAACAAGTAAAGAAATGGCAACATCAATGGTAGAAATTGCCACATTTTAACTACAAAAGTATGTGGATAACTTGCAAAGAACTTGTATGAAGCAATGAGAAAGAGGTAAACAATCATTTGGAAAAACGGGCAAAGGATTTGAGCAGACAGGTTACAGAAAAAGAAATTCAAATGGCTAATACACATATGATAAGATGCTCAACCCTATTCATAATTAAGGAAATGAAGAGCAAACCATCAATGACTTAACATTTTGTACTTATTACATTGGAAAAAAATAAAGTGTTGGTAGGAACGTCAGGAAATGGGCAGTCATAACTTCTGGGAGGAGTATACACCAGTAGAACCTTCCGTGTGGGTGTTGGTAATACCTGTTACACGGGCACTAGTCATATTCATCAAAATTGAACTGAATGTATTCTTTATCCTTTGAAGTAGCAATTGCGGTAATAGGTATTTAAAGAGAGATAAACTTGAAAGGCTGATAAGGATGTCAATTGTACACTCTAAGAGCCCAAACCCATCATACGATAGAATATAATATAGCCATTAGAAACAATGAGGCAGAACTGTATGTCCTGATACAAAAATAATTTAATAAAATTATATAACAAAGTACCAAAGATTACTCATTGTGTGACCTTTGTATGTGAAGTTCAAAAAACAATAAATGCATATATTTTGTTATATGTATTAAGAGTGGTTAACAGACATACACTAATGAATATATTAAAAAGTACTGCATTGTATCTACTTTACAAGGGTAAACTTTATAGTATATGAATTGTATCTTGATAAAGCTGTTATTTAAAAATATCAACAGCTTAAGTCTTGTTAAACTTTGGAGAGAGGAATTATGGAAGTGAGCGGAAACGAGGCTCTCCCTTTTCTTTATGTAACTCTCTGAACTACCTGAAGTTTCCTATCATACATATGTATTACCTCTATTTTAATTTTTTAGTCAACTGGGTTCTCTGTGTAGGATTATAATTAATTTATATTTTCAACTTTATATTTTTCTGTATGAAGACTCTAAGGCACATTATAAAGCAAAATAACAAAATACAAGTCTCTCTAACCCTCATAGCAACTAGTATATATGTAAATCACAGTCAAACGCCAGGCTGGATTTGGCCTGAATAGTACTAATAGCAGACAACTACGTTAATATACAAGGGGGAAACCGTACCTGCTTGCAGTATTTGGTCACAGCTGCTCCCAGAGGGTGCTCACTGTGACTCTCAGCAGTTCCCACAATGGCCAGGATCTTAGTGCGGGATATTCTGTTACTTTCCACTAGAACCTTTACTTGACTCACCACTGGGGTTCCATGGGTAATGGTTCCAGTCTTATCAAACACCACTACCTTCACCTGTAACAAAGGTAAAATACAATGCACCTATATGTCCTGATAATCCTTAATATCACCTTTCCAGAAATGAGAAAAAGGTTACCTTCTTAATAAACTTTGACTTCATAAAGTGCCTTTGGGAGAATAAAAGGGAGAGAATAACCGAAGAAAAACGCTCAGTTACACCTAACGCCCCCTAGTGTAGACACGTGTTAAAGACCTAGAACTAATTGTTAAAGGTTGACTGTTAATAGTTCATTAAGAGTTGGCCTGTAGCGCCTCCAGGGAAAGACACAGGCTTTAAATAGTAATGAATTACAGGTCTATAGGGGAAATATGAGCATGGGGAACTAATTACAAGAAAAAGGTAAATAATTAAATTGAAGTGAGCGTCAGATAAGACCTGCTGGGGGGAAAAAAAAGACCTCCTGGGAGGCTCTGAGTTTATTGGGTGTAGGTGAGTGAGTAGCTTGGCCTGTGAAGAGACAGCTCAGGAATCAAAGAAGGCAAGGAGGCCCAGACAGGAAAAAGGAAGAGGGTAGAATTAGAGAACAGCCACCTTAGAGTCAACAGAGAAATCCAAAACTTGAAAAATGACTAGCTTGAGAAACTGAGGTGAAAAGATATGACAACTGAATACACAGCATGATTCCAGACAAGAGGGAAAAAAGCTATAAAGGATACTACAGGGACAACTGAGGAAACCGGAATATGGAAGGTTAGATAATAGTGCAATATCAACATTAATTTCTTGATTCTGATGTTTGTACTGTGGTTTTGTAAGAAAATGTCCTTTTTCTCAGGAAAGGAGGCTGATATCTGTAGTGAAGGGTATACAGAAGTTCTTTTTACTATTCTTGCAATTTTTCTTTGAGTTTGAAACATGGTTTTAGTTGAAGTCAAGCAGCCTTGATTGAGGTTGTTACGAAAATCCTAATACAAGAGAGACAAGGGATAGGATTATATTCCTGAAGTGACAGTTGCAAACTGTCATCTGCTGGCAGAAAGGCAAAGACACTGCAATGGAACCACAAAGTGCTGTCTCATGGTGAGGGACACAAGCATGGAGTCACACAGGCTAGAAGCCTGAGAGACCTGGGTGAACACTCCCTCTGTCTTCCTGCCCTAAAGACTTTTCTAGTCTGAGCTGAGATGAGACTTCAGGTTTTCCACACTGGCATCTGCTTGAAGAGACAAGGTCTCTAGTAGTTTGAGATCCTGGATGACCAAGGCCAACCTGGTGCAGAACCGAAGTAATGCCTCTCCTACCCTGACCCTCAGGATTGTGGCAGAAGAGGCTTAGATTATAGACCGGGTGGAAGTAATTCAAGACTCTGTTCCTCAGTAGGCATGCTACTGCCAGTTAGGATGGGACAGTTCTTAAGTCTGGGATATCTTACCTTATGAGCCATCTCCAATGGCTCACCACCTTTGATTAGTATGCCATTTTGAGCGCCTACTCCCGTACCCACCATCACAGCAGTTGGGGTCGCCAGACCCAGTGAGCAGGGGCATGCAATGCACAGAACTGTGATAGAGGCTTGGAAAGCAAAGCGTATTATCGTTTCGGTTTGGGAGATACTTCTGTTGTAGCCCTTTAGAAGAAATGCATGAATTTTTGGTTATTGATTTAGAGCTGAACAAAGCAAAAGGAAAAAAGGTTCACTATTTCAATAAAACCTCAATTTTGAAGTCATGCATAATCCTACTTAGCTACTAAAGTATATATTTTACTTACTAGTAAGAAAGCTCTTTAAATTTTATGAAGATATTATGACATAACTGGTAAACCAGTCATGATCCCCAAATCAAGATTTCAATTTTACTGATTCACAGCTACAAACTATGGAGTGAATACAAGGAACATAAAAGTCAGCCTTTTTTTTTTTTTGGCCCCATATTGAGAGGAAGTCTTTTTATTAGGGACTTTCAAAAATAGCTGCAGCCCTGGTGAGTGTGGCTCAGTACACTGAGTGCTGGCCAACGAACCCAAAGGTTGCTGGTTCAATTCCCAGTCAGGGAACATGCCTGGGTTGTGGGCCAGGTCCCCAGTAGGGAGCATGTGAGAGGCAACTAATCAGTATATCTCTGGCACTTTGATGTTTCTCTCCCTCTCTTTCTTCCTCCTTCCCCCTCTGTCTAAAATTAAGTAGATTAAATCTTTAAAAAATATCTGTAACCATGGAACCTAATTCTAAACCAATCTGATCCTACATGAAAGGAATTGTGAACCTTTATATACTAATACCATAAATCTGCTTTTCACACTATTCTTGAAGACAATGGGGACAATTACCCAGCATGCAAAGGGAGTTTAATAACATCTGAATAAAATTCTTTCAGATGTAATAATGTGAATTGAGTATATCAGATAGTGTAGCTCTTAATGGCATTGAATACTTGCTTGTACAGGTAAATATGATCAACTGTATTAGGGAAACCCTCCTAAGATCCCCTGAACTCACGATACAAATTCCAAAATACCTCCCAGCAACCCTCTTATCCAATGTGTGCTTAACCAACATGAATCACTTAAAGAAACTTAAATATTATAGTAATAACCATGTCACGGAATAGACACACAGTTGTTGTGCTTCTACTTGTTCTTTAATCAAAGGGACAAACAGCATAAAATCAGTGTGTAGAAGAGGACATTTTAAAATAAAGAAACGACAGTAAGACTTTCTTCGTAGTAACTGTTTTACAGTGCTAGTTTCTTGAGTTCTTTAATAAACTAAGTGATATAAAGAACGGTATATCTGTACAGTAACAGAGTTACAGGGACTTTCATAAACATCTAAATTGATGCTTTCGTGTATGTCAAATGTGCATGTTTTCACCTGCACCAATTCCAATGCTGCAAGTTAGGTGTTATTGTCACTATAGCACGCGTGACAAAACTGAGGCTGAGAAGTGACTTAAAAATTGTATCTCTAGTGCTGACTGGCGTGGGTCAGTGGATTGAGCTCCAGCCTGTGAACCAAAAGGATCTGCAGTCTAGGGTGCATGCCTGGGTTGTGGGTGAGGTGCCCAGTAAGGGGTGTGTGTGAGAGACGACCACACATGGATGTTTCTCTCTCTCCTTCCCTTCCCCTCTCTAAAAACAAGCAAACAAACAAACAAACAGTTTTAAAGAATTATATCTCTAAAGTGAGACACAGTCCAGGTCTACTTATCCACCTTATGACACTATACTTCAGAGTATCAAAGCACTAGAGAGAAACAGGCACTGATACTACCTTATATTTATAAAGCATTTAATAAGTTCCTAAGTGTTTTTCATATATCATCTGATTTAACTTTCGCAACAACTATAAGTTATGTGGGATGGGGTTATTAAAATCTCATTGTAGACATGAGGAAAATGAAACTCAGAGAGAAATTAAGTTGACCCAAGATCATGCAGATGGTGTGTGGCAGAGCGCACACTGTGAGATTTTCCTCGATATGTCCACAGTCCTTCATGAAAGCAGTATCATGCCAGAAATGAGACTAGATATGAAATGTAAAAGTTCAGCACTTGCTTTGGGGAAATCACAAGTCATAATGAAAAAAATCCTTGCAAAAGAAAATCTTTTATATTACAGAAATGTAGATGCTATTATTATCACTCTCCCAGTCCACTTCCTCAAACATAGTCGTGATTATTAAGGTTATTTCCCAATTAATGACTTATGCAAAAAATTTCATTAACTGTTTACATATGGTAAAGAATTGTCACATGTCACTTACAGGAAAGTAGGTTTCGACAACTTGAAAATGCAGAAATCCAATTATAATCCAAACCAAGAGGGTAACAATGGAAATTATAACAATAAAAGGAACAAAGTAGCCACTGAGTTTGTCTGCAAACTGCTGGATAGGAGCCTAGAATTTAAAAAGATAATAATAACAACAACAATAACAACAACAACAAGAATACATAAGTCAAAGTTTCCTTTTTATAATGAATAGAGCACAAACAACTATTTTAATAAACTCCATATTAACACAAACAGAATTACTCAAAGGAAAATACAAAAACTAAATAAACATTTACACTGAGTGGGCTTTAAAGAAAAGACTTTATTTCTCCTAGAGAGGTAAGTTACCTTTGAGGTTTGTGCCTCCTCCACAAGTTTGACAATTTGAGAAAGGGTTGTGTCCGCTCCGACATGGGTTGCGCGGATGAACAGTGACCCATTCTGGTTGATGGAACCAGCAATCACTGTGCTCCCAGATTTCTTGGCCACAGGCATTGCCTCCCCTGGATGAGGGGTAAAGATAGATTCAGGGAACATACATAAGCTGTATCATGAAACATACCATCATTTGTTAATTGTCAAAAATTTCTAGAAAGGAGATTCTTTTAAAAAATATTTTGTTTATTTATTTTTAGAGAGAGGGGAAACAAAGGAGAAGGAGAGGGTGAGAAACAGCAATGTGTGGTTGCTTCTTGTGCACCCCTACTGGGGACCTGGCCCACAACCCAGGCATGTGCCCTGACTGGGAATTGAACTGGCAACCCTTTGGTTTGCAGGCCAGAGCTCAATCCACTGAGTGACACCAGCCAGGGCTAGAAAGGAGATTTTAATTTATGAAATAGAATCTGGACAAATGCCCAGGTGAAAGATGCTTTCCTTATTTTCTTATGTTAGTTCTGGGCCAAATGCAGGCAGACATATCTTACACTGAAAAAATCTAATACGCTAGCTCTTGTTGTAAGAGCCTTTTGGAGCTCCACCCAAGCCTCGGATCACTTGTTCTCAGCCTATTTATTCCCGAGGAGCATTTAGAAACGTAGGAGGGAATTCTCATCTGTAATTACTACTGATGCAGCTGCTACTCTAAGTTAGTGGAACAGGGTCAAAAATACTAAGTGTACTACAACGTGCAACAGAGTCCTCCAGAACTCAGAATTGTCCCATCCAAAGTCACAGTATCACCCCTACTGACAAACATGGAGACCTAAATTATGTCCTCCTTGATCTATAACCTAAGGCTCCTTCAACACTATCCTCAGGGTTGAAATAGGAAAGGTGTTATTTCGGTTCTGCTCCAGATTGGCCTTAGTTATCTAAGATCTCTAAACTTGTACAGGCCTACTCTCCTAGAGCAGACACTGATGTGGAAAACCTGGAGTCCCGCCCCAGCTCAGACTAGAACAATGTTTAGGGCAGGAAGACAGAATAGGTATTGGGCCCTGGCTGGTGTAGCTCAGGGGATTGAGCGCAGGCCTGCAAACCAAAGGATCGCTGTTCAATTCCCAGTCAGGGTACATGGCTGGGTTACAGGCCAGTTCCCAGCAGGGGACACATAAGAAGCAGCCATACATTGATATTTCTCTCCCTCCCTCCTTCCCTTTCCCTCTAAAGATAAATAAAATCTTTAAAAAAAATAGGCCCTGGCTGGTGTAGCTCAGTGGATTGAGCGCGGGCCTGTGAACCAGAGTATCGTGGTTCGATTCCCAGTCAGGGCACATGTCTGGGTTGCAGACCTACCCTTCCCCTCTAAAGATAAATAAATAAAATCTTAAAAAAAAAATAGGTATTGGGTCAGGTACATTTGCCAAAGTGTATTGAGTTCTACAGCAGAATTACACAATTTCCTTTGGTTATTCATTCCCATAATGAACAATTCTCACCAAAAAAAAAAAAAGCCTACACTAGCATAACTAAATCCACAAAGTAAATCTGTAGAAATTGATTTACTGCAGTCTTGAAAAGAAATCATACTGTCTTTGAACATTATTTACTCATTTCAGTTTCTATAAAAAGCTCATCACCTTTCTCGTTTATTCTTCATGAATACTTTGGATTCACTTCACTTTTCATGACCCACAGAAAGAACATACCTGTGATGAGGGACTCATCTACCATAGAATGTCCTTCGATGACACGGCCATCCACTGGAAATTTGCCTCCTGGGACCACTTTAATGATGTCTCCACGTTGTACAAGTTCCACATCCACTTGTTCTTCACTAGATATGAGTGAAAATGAAAAGCATTATGACAATATGATTCTCACGCTGATTTTCCCATGCGAGCTTTATTTAGTTCATATCAATCTTGCGGCTGCATTGTTGTCAGCAATGGAAGCTTGGACCAACATCTCAGATGGGAACCACAGCATCAGTCTTGTTCTCTGGTGGGAAACAGCTCAGTGCCTAGCACGAAGTAGAAACTCTAAATATTTCTTACATAGTCACCAAACGAATAAATGGAAACTTTAGAAAATAATGTACTGGGTTTTATTTTACTGAACAATTTATTTATTGCATAAATCTGCCTAAATAATTTCGTAAGTGTACAAGTGAATGAAATCCAAAAGAATGAAAAAGAATGAAATCCAATCAATACTTTAGTTCTCACTTCCAGTTTACAGAGAACACAGGAGTTTTAAAACAAGGTAACTGCAAACAGAAGGGCACAAAGAGACAAACCTGGACTATGGCATATTATACGGAGACCCGATGGATGGATGTTTCTTTAACAAGTCAAATGTTTGGAGAGGGAGAACAGGGGAGGCAAGAAGAAGGAGAAAAGAGAAGGATGAGCTATTCTAGAGTAAAAGAAACTGTAACGACTATGGCCTTGATTGAATTCTAGTGCAAACAATGAAACTTAAACCATTTGGAGACAACAGGAAAGATGTGAACATGAATGGCATGAGATGATATTAAGGAACTTTTGTTCATCTTACTAGATGCAGTATGGCGTTACAGTTATATAATGTTCTGCCCTGGCTGGTGTGGCTCAGTGGATTGAGGACCAGTCTGCAAACCAAAGGGTTGCCGGTTCGATCCCCAGTCAGGGCACATGCCTGAGTTGTGGGCCAGGTCCCCAGTAGAGGGTGCAACCACACATTGATGCTTCTCTCCCTTTCTTTCTCCCTCCCTTCCCCTCTCTCTAAAAATAAATAAAATCTTTTTAAAAAGGATATGTTCTTTTTTAGAGATACTACAGGAATACTTAGCGGTCAAATGATATGACTGGAATTTACTCTAAAATACTATTGCAACAACAGAAACAAAGATAGAATGTACAGATGAAGTAATGTGTGGCAAATATGAATATAACTGTTAAATCTGGGAGATGAATTATGTGCATGCATTATTACACTCTTCTCTCTACTTCTGTGTACATTTGATATTTTCATAAGGAGTAAAAAAATAAAAGTAGAGCCCTAGCTGATGTAGCTCACTGGATTGAGTGCAGACCTGTGAACCAAAGGGTCGCTGGTTTGATTCCCAGTCAGGGCACATGCCTGGGCTGCAGGCCAGTTCCCAGCAAGGGACGCACAAGAGGACACCACGCATTGATGTTTCTCTCCCTCTCTCTTTCCCTTCCCCTCTAAAGATAAATAAAATCTTTAAAAAAGAAAAGTAGAAAGAATGAAGATAAATACCTCAAGAGGATATTATCAGAGTCAAGAGTTACAATAGTTGCTTCTGTAGCTTGCAGTGAAATTAGCTTGGCAAGAGCCTCTGATGTCTTGCCCTATAAATTAAAAAGAAAAGTCAACAATGCTAAGAAAGAAAAAGCCCAGGCCTTACATGAAATAAAAATATAATCTTTAATAATTATTCAAAAGACAGATTTGGGAATATTAATTAGTTAAAATCAGAAAACATTTCACTTAAAAATATGAAGTAAACAAATTATAAAATATATAATAAGCTCTAATTTATAAATAAATAATGTAAATTAATAAGAAAAAACATCAGAAACCCAATAGGTACACAGGCAAAGGACATGAACAGGCAATTCAAGTAAGAAATAAAATCCCTGATGTGTGAAAAAATGTTTATCGCTATTATTAATGGAAAAAAATGCAAAGTAAAGTAACTCTATGATACCATTTCATGCCTACTGACTTAGTCAGAGTTTAGACAGGAATCAAAACTGATGAAGTGGTAGTCAAACTACTTCATTAACATACCTGTGCTGGCAAAAATTGTTTCAACTTGTAGCATAAACCATAGAAAGAGTTTTGTCTTTAAACCATATGCTTTGTAATTTATCCTAAGACTCTAATTCAAGAAAAATGACATTGCAGAGTTATCTCATATTAATAATTGGAAACAATCTAATTGAGGACAAAACCAAAATGATTTAGTAAATGACAGCATAGTGATTTGACAGAATATTACTCAGAAATGCCAAATAATTATCTAGACTGAAAAAATGGGGGGGAATCTTTATAGTGTTAAGGGTACAAAGTGGCACAGAATACTATGTTTGTCAGTCTGGAAAATATAAACGTATGTGGAATAGGATTAGAAAGTGATTTCCATTAGAGCATTAGATTATGGGTAAAAATTTTCCACCATTATTTTAAATCCTATAGTCACATCAACTTTTTCCATGAATAATATGATAGAAATAAATAAAAAGGTAGTTCTCCGATGCCTCTCTCTTAAAATAAACATGGATGTACTCTACTATCTACAATATTAATTCCATAAACTTGGTAAATTATCTAAAAAGGAATATATAAAATATTGCCAAACAAAAACAAATACTTCTTTAAGTAAATGATTAGATACATAAATCAATATATGTATTCTATTAATTAGTGTAGAAACTATTATGGTCATTTATCCACCCAAGACTTTAATAAATATCACATTTTCTGACTTTACCTTTGCTATATGTTCCAGCCACCGGCCTAGCGCAATAAACACAAATAGCATAGGAGGTGTGTCAAAGAAAGTAATAGGGTTCACTTTGGCTCTCTCATACATTGCTACAAGCAGGATAACCAAAGAGTAGACGAATGCAATGGTGGTGGCCAGCACAATCAGTACGTCCATATTTGCAGTTTTATGCTTCAGTGCTTTGTAGGCCTGAATGTAGAAGTACCAGCCTCCAAAAAACTGTAACAGAGAAAGAATAATTGTTGCCTTTAAAAAAAACCCTGAAATGCAAATATATACCTCAATAACTAAGGTACAGCATCAATGTTAAATTCCTTTGACTTCTACTTAATCCATTAACGCTAAAGAGAAAGTTTAAGTTTGCATTTTAGCAGCTATGTGTGTGCAAGGATTTAGCAGCAAGGATTCCAATTGGTGCACCAGTTTGGCAGCTGTCCTCTGTGGTCTGATGGATATTCCATAATAGAAACTCAGAAGGTTCTCAGAACCTTCTCAAAGAGAAGGTTTTCTCTTTGATTCTAGCCAAAACAAGAACTATGAAAAGAATGACATTCTTTTTTAAAAAAAATTATTTATTTATCTTTATAGGGGAAGGGAAGGAGAGAGGGAGAGAAATATCAATGTATGGTTGCCTCTCATGCATCCCCTGCTGGGAACCAGCCTGCAACCCAGGCATGCACCCTGACTGGAAATCGAACCGCAATCCTTTGTTTTGCAGGCCTGCACTCAATCCACTGAGCTACACCAGCCAGGGCGAATGACATTCTTTTGACAAGGGTTTTTTAAATACAAAACTCATCTTCCGCTTTCCAAAATTCAACCTAAGTGGTATACGACAAGTTATGAGATCTGATAGCTGGTTTTGTTAGTAAACATGACCAAAAGGCTTGTCTTTCTTAGAGAGAAACATGCTGAGATTTTTAAGAAATTATTATTGCATTTTACAAGAATCAGAAAAAGAGATATATTTATCAGATGGAAGTGTTCTACAATAAGAGTTTATCTCAAAAGAAGCTTTGAAAACATCCAAAAAGCAATAAATTTAAGTGCCAGGGGAAAGCAATACAACTAATAATAATTACCATAATTATTTTATTTTATACAATAAATTAATAAAGATATTAAAATAGATTTAATATCATTACTAGAAATATAATTCACTTAAAATATTAAATATATAAGTAAATGTATTTTATTATAATTTTAAATATAAAGTTATATATAATAGCAGACATAAACACCAAATTCATATCTGAATAAAAGCTAAATTCTTATTGTCTGCTTTGTCATTAAATAATATCTTTAGGGGTTAAGTGGAATTTATTATCGACTTTAACTAACCACTCAGTTTAATATTATTTTTGTAAAACATTCAGCATAAAATGACCGGCTTCTGGCTAACATCTGCTTTACAATTGAAAATAGCCTTGCCTGCCACATCTTAGATACTTTTTGTTATTAACAAATAGACTTGTTAATAGTTCACTTGCCTGCACAGGTACACACAATATAAAGGAAAGCAAATTCATAATGGACAATCCTGGCAGGATCTGGCGCTCCAGGAACATAGAAGAATGAATATTGACCATTTCTTCTTGACTCATGTTCTGATTATGGTGAAGGGTTGCAAGGTGGTGGTCCGCAACCATCATATATATCATCAGCCCCATGACAGGAATACAGAAAAACAGGCTCACAAGGAAGGACCGTCTCCATCTTATATAGAAAAAAAAATTGTTTTAGTAAAGTAGCTAATGGTTAAAGAGTCTACGTATTACAGGTAAACACAAGTTACGACCACTCACCCAAGTCTAAGGATGCTATTGTAAAAACTCACATACTTACAGGATGTTAAATTTCTAAAAAGGAGTCAAAATGTATTTTTCACTGACACTTCAAAAGTACTTACTGTCTTATCTCTCGTTTATGGTCTAGGTGGCTTGCTGACCGATCCTTCTTGACCAAAGATGCCTCGAAACCTAAGTTCTACAAGAAATCCACAAGAAAACAATTATTTCACTGAAAGTATAAATATGTGGAGAAATACTAAGCCATGGTATTGTCATTAAGAACAATTCAACCCTGATCAGTGTGGCTCAGTTGGTTGGGCAACATCCCACAGGGTGAAAGGCCACCAGTTCGATTCCTGGTCGGGGTATATGCTTGGGTTGTGAATTCAATACCTGGTCGGGGCATGCATGACAGGCAACTGATTGGTGTTAGTCTTTCACATTGATGTCTCTACTGCTATTCCTCCCTCCCTTACCCCGTCTCTAAGAATAAATTAAATCTCTTGAAAAAAATGAAGAAATCACAATAAACAAAGCCCAGAGCAAGTAGAAAAAAGGAAATAAATCAAGATGAGAGCAGAATTAAATGGCATAGAGACTAAAAGAACAATTCAACGGATCAATAAATCCAGGAGCTGGTTCTTTGAAAAGATAAACAATATCAACAAGCCTTTAACCAGACTCACCAAGAAAAAAAAGAGAACTGAAATAAATAAAATCAGAAATGAAAGAGTATAAATTATAACTGACACCACAGAAATACAAAGGATGTAGGAAATTACTATGAACAACTAAATGCCAAGAAATTTGAAAACCTGGGTGAAATGGACAAATTTCTAGAAATATATAACCTTCCAGAACTAAATGAAGAAGAAACAGAAAGCCTGAATAGACCATAACTGCTGGTGAAATTGAAGAAGTAATAAAAAAACCTCATGGCACACAAAAACCCTGAACTGGGTGGCTTCACAGGAGAATTTTACAAAACATTTAAGGATGAGCTAACCTCCTATCCTTCTCAAACTACTCCAAAAAATCCAAGAAGAGAGAAGACTCCCAAACTCTTTTTATGAGGCCAGCATTATCCAAATCACCAAACCAGACAAAGACACAACAAAGAAAACCACAGGCCAAAATCAATGATGAACATAGAAACTAAAATCCTCAACAAAATATTGGCAGACCGCATCCAGCAATACATTAAAAAGATCATACACCGTGATCAGGTGGGATCCATCCCAGGGATGCAAGGATGTTTCAAGAGTCACAAATAAGTAAACGTAATACATCACATAAACAAAAGGAAAGACAAAATCACATGATCATATCAACAGATGTGGAAAGCATGGGAAAAAGAGTATCCATGTAGGATAAAAAAAAAAAAACCCTCAGCAAAGTGGAAAAAAAAGGAGCATACCTCAACATAATAAAGGCCATATAAAAGAAACTACAGCCAGTATCATACTCAATGGGCACGGGAAAAACTAAAAGCTTTCTGACTAAGATCAGGAACAAGACAAAGATGTCCACTTTCATCACTTCTATTCAATGTAGTATTGAAAGTCCTAGACACGGTGATCAGAAAAGAAAAAGAAATAAAATACATCCAAATTGGAAAGGAATAAGTAAAACTGTCATTATTTGCAAATGACATAATAGTGCACATAGAAAACCATGTAGACTTAACCAAATAAGCAAATTGGGCAAAACAATGGGATACAAAGTCAATATTCAGAAACCGAAGGAATTTCTGTACACCAACACTGAAATATCAGAAACACAAATCAGGGAAAAAATACCATTTACTATAGCAACAAAAAAATAAAGTACCCATATTTTTCAGACCATAAGACACAACTGGGTTTTAGAGGAAGAATTTCTGAAGCCAAAAAATGTGGTAAAATATTTAATAACATAAATAACATAATATTTCACCACTGTAAAAATAAACAGAATGCAACAGCAGCATTAACAATCATTATACCTCCCCAAATGGGGTGGGGGTGCACCTTATAGTCTGAAAACTATGGTGCCTACGAATAAACCTAACCAAGGAGGTAAAAGACCTGTACTCAGAAAACCACACAACCGGGAAGAAAGAAATTATAGAAGACGGACTTCCGGCCAAGATGGAGGCATAGGTGGAAACACTATGCTTCCACGAACAACCAAGTTTAAAGACAACAAAGTTTTAGTACCAAAACGCAGCCAAAACACAGAAAATTGAAATGTATGGAAGTCTGACAACAACGAACCATTTAGCCAGAGCAGTAGAGGGGCAGAGTCACTGGCAGAGCAGGGTCGGGAGGAAAGATTGGTCGGACCAACCCAGGAGCACAAGCAGCAGCTGGCAGATCCCAGGCCTAGGGTGGTAACAGGTGGACCCACTGATGGTGAAAGGCAGCTGGCTGACCGCAGTCACACATTCGCACACAGATAAAAACCAAGAAAAGGAGCGAGCACTGAGACAGACCACTCAGGCTATGGCCCCAGCAAGGGGAATTAGAGCCTGAAAGCACAAATTGGAAAGACTTTCGGGGTGAAGGTGCTGGGAGAGGCTCCCAGGCTCACAGAGAGTTCATTGGAGAGATCCACAGGGTCCTGGAGGGTGCACAGGCCCACACACCTGGGAGCCAGCACCAGAAGGGCCCAATTTGCTGGTGGGAAACAACAGAGGAGACAGAAATCTGAAAGAGAGCATGGAACAAACGCCATTGCCCCTCTCTGATCCCGCCCCCACATACAGCATCACAACCCAGCAACCTGGGTTGCTCCGCCCTGGTGAACACCTAAGGCTCTGCTCCTCATACATAACGGGTACAAACAGACCAAAACATTATGGCTCAAGAACAGCTCAAAGCCCCAGAGCCAATACATCTAAGCGACCAAGAGACAGCCACCCTATAGGATGCAGAGTTCAAAACACTGGTGACTAGGATGCTCACAGAATTGGTTGATTTTAGTTACAAATTAGAGGAACAAATGAAGGCTAAACCAATTGAAATGAAGGGAAATGCACAGGAAACCAATAGTGATGGAAAGGAAACTGGGACTCAAATCAAAGGAGTGGACCAGAAGGGGGGAAAAAATGACCAAACAGAAAACGATGAAGAAACAAAAATTCAAAAAAATGAGGAGAGGCTTACGAATCTCCAGGACATCTTTAAACGTTCCAACATCCAAATTATAGGGATACCAGAAGGGGAAGAGGAACAGCCACGAGTGGAAAACTTACTTGAACAAATAATAAAGCAGAACTTCCCCAATCTGGCAAAGGAAATAGGCTTCCAGGAAATCCAGGAAGCTCAGAGAGTCCCAAAGAAGTTGGACCCAAGAAGGAACACACCAAGGCACATCATCATTACATTAGCTAAGATTAAAATGAAGGAGAGAATCCTAGAAGCAGCAAGAGATAAGGGGACAGTCACCTACAAAGGAGTTCCCATCAGTCTGTCAGCTGATTTCTCAAAAGGGATCTTACAGGCAAGAAGGGGCTGGAAAGAAGTATTCCAAGTCATGAAATCCAAAGACCTACATCCAAGATTGCTCTATCCAGCAAAGCTTTCATTTAGAATGGAAGGGCAAATAAAGTGCTTCTCAGATAAGGTCAAGTTCAAGGAGTTCATCATCACCAAGCCCTTATTATATGAAATGTTGCAGGGACTTACCTAAGAAAAAGAAGATAAAAAAGATGAACAGTGAAAGGACAGCAAACACACAGTTATTAACAACCACATCTAAAACAAAAGCAAACTAAGATAACAAGCTAGATCAGGAGCAGAACCATAGAAATGAAGATCACATGGAGGGTTAGCAACAGGGGAGTGGGAGAAGGAGAAGGGGGGAGAAGGTACAGAAAATAAGTAGTATAGATGGTAGGTAGAAAATAGATAGGGGGGAGGGCAAGAATAGTATGGGAAATATAGAATCTAAAGAACTTGAGACACGTGGTCATAAACTAAAGGGGGGATGGTGGGGGAGGGGGTGTGCAGGGTGGAGGGAAATGAAGGGGGAAATAGGACAACTGTAATGGCATAATTAATAAAATATATTTTTTAAAAAATTAAAATAAAAATAAAACCACAATGAGATACCACTTCACACCTATCAGAATGGCCATCAATAAACTAACAAATAAATGTTTCAGAGGATGTGGAAAAAAAGGGAACCTCAGTGCACTGTTGGTGGGAACACAGATTTGTACAGCCACTGTAGAAAACAGTATGGAATTTCCTCAGAAAACTGAAGATGGAACTGCCTTTTACCCAGCAATTCCACTACTGGGAGTATACCCTAGAATCCTGAAACACCAATTCAAAAGAACCTATGCACCCCAAGGTTCATAGCAGTGTTATTTACAACAGTCAAGTTCTGGAAACAGCCTAAGTGCCCATCTGTTAATGAGTGGATCAAAAAATTGTGGTACCCTTACACGATGGAATTCTACGCAGCAGAAAGAAAGGAGATCCTACCCTTCTCAACACCATAGATAGAACTGGAGAGCATTATGCTAAGTGAAATAAGCCAGGCAGTGAGGGACAAATACCATATGTATGATTTCACCTGTAAGTGGAACCTCATCAACAGAACAAATGAACAAAATAGAACAGGAGGCATGGAAACAAGGTATAGACTACAGGGACCAGAGCGGACTGGGGAGGAAGATAACAGGAGAAAGAAGGGAAAGGGTCAAGTCAGGGAACATGTATTAAGGACCCGTGGACATGGACAGTGGTGTAGGGATTGACTGTTGGGAGTGGGGGGCGGTTGGATGAGACAAGGAAGAGCAATGGGGAAAATTGGGACAACTGTAACTGAACAATAATTTTAGAAAAAAGGAAATCTGCCCTGGCTTGTGTATCTCAGTGGATTGAGTGCGGGCTGCAAACCAAAGGGTTGCCAGTTTGATTCCCAGTCAGGGCACATGCCTGGGTTGTGGGTCAGGTCCCAGTAAGGGGCGTATGAGAGGCAATCACATGTTGCAGACCCTGTCCAGCAGAGTCCGCCTGTTGTGGTATACGACGAGAATCAATGCACAGACGACAACAACCCTGTGTGGAAAAAGCGAACAGACACGACTGCTCTCTCCAGGGGAGAGGGCCTATGGTGCCTCGGCCACTCCCTCAAGAGGGGAGCGCCCGGACCCTTGCCTAGACAGGCTTTTATTGTTTTCCTGGGGTCTTACATCATAGAAAG